ACTGAGCAAACTCAGGGAGGCAGTGAAGGACAGGAAGGCCTGGCGCAATATGGTTCATGGGGTCACGAAGAGTCGGACACGACTTAACGACTAAACAACAACAAAGCCAAAACCAGGCAAATCATTTTTACAGTATTGTTACTTCAGTTTCAGCTGAGTTCACACAACGCACTGGACCAGAACTAGCTGACCATATTTTATCCTCTCCTGTGATGCAAACCAGGGATCAAATTATGTCTCATGCCATGCAAATAAAATGTTTGCCTATTAATTAATCTTATTTGGATCTGTTTCAATGACCATTTTCAGTCATGTAAGAATAATTTTTAATGTGGAACAGAAGTATACATTATATTCAAGTACATTATATTTGTATTCTTCATTAAACTTATTTTTATGTGATTGAACATGGCTAATGAAGTAGCTTCAAATAATATGCCATGCAAATCTAGAAAATTTGGCTGAGTAAACTGTGACTAAGTGAACCATGGTGAATATGCTGTATGAACCAGGAGTTCACATTTAGTGTCTTGGTTGAGCATTTCATTCAGTTATTTTATACTGTTCCTGTGCTGTTCCAATCATACAGCTCTGGGCTTACTGTACAATAAACAAAGCCATAAACTCATACAACCACAATAGGAGAATAAAATTAATAAAACCAGCCAATAAAATATAATAGCAGCTCAACCATTATGGCTGGTTGGCTATGGTTTGTGGTTTACTGTGGGTTGTAAACAGCTTGGGAGGATTGCTTCACACCAGTGAAAAAAGAATAGTTTCATTAAATAAATTGACAAAGGTTTTTGTTTTCATATTTTTATTCTTTATTAATAGAAGAGAATATATGTAGCTCAAGGTTGAACTGTGGAGTCCTCAGTGCTTTCTGAGGTTGGTTGTTTTCTTGCAGACATTTCATTACCTAACTAGGTAACATCATCAGCACTGTTAAATGGCAATATTGGGTTTACCCAGTAAGATCCCAGGTAGCTTCATTTTGCACCAGTGAAAATTTGCATCCTGTGTAAAACAAATTAAAATAATCCACGCAAGTGGTGACAAAGAAGCTTGGGGGGGGGGTGTTATGTAAAAAGGAGTGATTGCAGGCATCAGATTGACTTTTTTTACTTTTGTGGATGCCCCTGCAAGGGGGTGAGTGACTATCCTCAGTGTTTTAGGTAATGCTGCAACTGGAATACTAGCTAAAGCTGGGCAAAGGCCCTCTTATACATTATAAATTTAATTGAGGACTTAGCAATACTGCCATTGTTGCTATAGTTTCTTCTTGTTGCTGTAGTTTCTGTAGAACAGAGGCAAACAACCTTTGTGCTGCATATATTGTTGAACTAAAGCAGTCTAGGAAGTTATGCTTCCTACAAATGCTAATAATTGTTCCCAAATATTTGATCCCCCACTTTGCCAATTCCTGCCCTAGAATAGTGTTTGCCTCTTGAATGAAATCTTATATTTAAATTCTCATTTAATTTTTCATAACAACTCCCAAGTTCTGTTTTCCTGCTTAATCTGTGCTAGTTCAGACCAAATCAGAATCTTTTCAAAAATAGACATGCTTAGAAGGATCCATTTCTGCTTGTGCATGAAATCATAACATGAAGAATCATATGTAAACAAGATAATTGTGTTTAATAATCTTTTATAGATATATGTGGGTCTTATCAAGAACTGTCTTTTTGGCTATAGGTTTGTGAGGTTTAGATACTTTAAATAAACTAAATATTTCAAGGAACAGTTTTGTAAGTTAACAATTGGTTTCTTCTTTGTTTTAACAGAATTATGATAGCATGCATTTCTACACACTGCAATTTGTTTGGAGATGGCGCTAAAACCTTCATAATTCTACTATCTGATTTACTACAACAATTTGAAAAACTTAATAAAAGAGATCAAGGAAAATATTGCAGTTTTAAGCATATTTCCCAGTTTCTTGTGAAGATCCAAACAGATATCCTGGACCATATAATGACGTGGGACCTCAAGAAACATTTTTTGTCAATCTTTTCTGCTTCTGCCTCAGATATGAGAAAGGATATGGAGTTAGTGTTAGAACCTTATTTTTGTGGGAAAGTGGGAAATAACAGGCAAAAGTTCCTTTCTCATTTGGCTTGTGATTTCTACTTCAAAGTTACAGCTGGTAAAAACCAGAAGGAGGCATTATACTTAGTGAATGAATGTTTTGCAGAGCTGCATACCACTGTGACAGGCCTTCCTTTTTCAGATTCAAGGATCCTAGATGGCTTTTTACTTCAAAGAGACTTTGCAGTATACTGCCCTGCCAATAGTGATAAAAGAGTTATAATTATAACAGAACCTATTCACTCTTCCATATCTGAGTTGGGCATAGAAGTTGTCATAACTGCTGAAAGTCAGTTCAAAGCATCTGAAACCTGGATTACAAAAAGAACTGAAACTCTTCTACAACACATGCAAGACAGTAACATCAAGGTAATACTGTCAAGTGTGAAACAGCATGATATTGTTCACTATTATGCAAAAAATAATGGCATATCTATTGTAGATTGCTTGTTAGCAGAGGAAATCGCTCTTATTTGCAAGGTTACCGGAATCTCACCTTTCAGACCATCTTTGGATAATATTAACAGTGAAATCACTCAAATAGCTGTAGCAAAATTTTGCCAACCCTTACACCTTGGAACCAAAAGTTTTGTTCACATTGGCTTTGCAAAAACCTCTGTCATCCAGCTTCATTGTGCAATTCTCTGTGGACCAGTACATGGAGTTACTGAGCAACATGCTTCTGCTTTTCGTGAAGCATTCAAAGTGCTACAACAAACGTTTACAGCAGTTCAGCTAGCTGAGCACTTTGACTCAAAATTGGAAAATCACTGTCTTTTAAATAGTCTGAATAAAACTCAGCAGTGTTCAGCTCCTCATCAGCCTTTAGTTCAGGAGCACAGTGATTGGAGAAAAGTCCAAACCAACACCAAGCACCTGACACCTGGTGGGCTTAAAATGGAAAAACTTTCTGCACCTTCTTATGTAGAAGATGAAAAGTTAGTCCATTCATCCAGTTGTAATTCCTCAGGCATAGCCATGCCTTCTGTTGATTTGTTGCATGGTATTAAGAGTTCATTATTACAGAAAAGTGATGATGATTCAGTTGGCTGGCAAATGGCTTCTCATAAATACAAATTTCAAAAAGAAGAGTTGCAAATGACTGAGAATGAACTTCTTGAAGATAATCAGCCTGTTTATAATACAGATAACAAAAACATAGATTTCAGAAATGTAAAGCTTCAAGCTAGTACAGACAGTTGTACCAGGTTACTTAAATATGATGAGAATGATAAAAAAGGTAATCAGAGTTACTCTGACTCTTGCATAAAAGTGGGATCAGTTTTGCCAGTAGGAGGGCTCTTTGAAATTCTGTTACATTACTATCTATCTAACTATGCAAAACAATGCCAGTCATCAAATATATCCATTATTTGTACTATACTTGCTGATGTATTGCTAAGTATTCCAAAAACTCTCTGCACGACACAAAAAAGGAATGCATTTCCTCAGCTCTGCCTTCAAGTTACCAGTGCCCTCAAAAGCAGTCAGCAGCTTCTGCCAAATCAAAAGCTTCTAGAATCAGTTTCTTGTAAGTACCACTTGGTGGCTTCTGTGCTTCAATGTGCAGCTCGGCTGCTTAGTGTTGACCTAATCATTAGCGTTAAAAGGCTACCACAGAAGGCTGAAGAGAGCGACTCAGAAGTTGATGTGTAAAAGCTAGCTCCTCCTATATTGGTGGGAATCTCATTCATCTCTATCTGATTACTTTTTTCCTTTTCTCCCCTAATTCTTAGTGAAAGGACCCAAAAAGAGGAAAGGGAAATAATATAACTATATTATTCTTCCTCCTTCAGCCTTCTACTTCTGATTACTAGGAAGGACTTCAAAATGCTCTGTTTTGCATATCTCTCACCAGATGTGTACCCAGGCTTATTTACATTTGCCTCAACTACCAAGTATGTATGTAACTTTGCTGTTGAATCAATACAGCTTTATTTTCACCCATTCCCAAGAATGTGTCATTATACTTTCCTCTTGCCTATCATACTTGGGTGAAATGATGTATCAGGATTTTTAACTTCTTTTAAAAACATTTTTTTTTTAGCTCAAGGACAAATCTGTGAGCTGAGGAACATTAGTGCAACCTTTAGTTTTTAGGGGCTGGGAGAATAGACATATTAGTTCTAAATTTGTTTGGTTTATTTATGCATTAGATGTGTATCATGGCTTTCTCCTAGGTGCCCAAAGTGGTGTCTAAAGCACTCCAATTTTTCCACACAAGAAATTCTGTGAGGTAGGTTAGGCTGAGATAATGTGACTGGCCCAAGTCACCCAAGGATTCACCGCAACTAATACAATTTTATTCAAATAAAAGCTCTTCTAAATTCTCGATTAATTATATTTGGCTGTTTCTTGGCTGTGGAGAATCAAAGTTCTCCATTCCAGCAGCACTGGATTCCCAAAGGTATATCTGATTTGGCTGGGAAAACATTCAGTATGGATAGTGCAGGAAAAACATTGCTGGGAACTATTGTGCAACAAAAATGCCGATTACTCTGAATGCCGTAACCCTAAGCAAGATTTCTCTGATTATCTTACCTTGAGGAAACTTAAAACAGGGAAAGCTAGATTTTCTTTTTCACAATTTCTAAGAATTTAGTATTGTGAAATGTTACTTCTTTATAAAGAACCACTTTTGGAAATGGGTTCATATTTGTCCCTCAGGGAAAATATAATCATTACTGCCTCCCTTTTTTTTCAATGCATCCTCTCAGTGTGGAAAGGTAGGGACATCTTTTATCTACCACTGATACTCATACAATTGGGTTGATTTCATAAATTGTTTTTCTCCAATGGTAGCAGATCCACATCATGGGAACTATAACTATGAAATGCCAGCAGAATAATTATGAAAACTGGTATGAGGAAAATATATCTTTGGGTGAATCTTTGGGTAAAAGAAGCAAGTTTTTAGAGGCCTCAGATGAATGGGATCGCCTTAATAAAATTGAAAAATAAAGGAATGTGCAGCAATTCCTTTCTGGGCTCTTATACTATGAAATGCCAGCAGAATAATTATGAAAACTGGTATGAGGAAAATATATCTTTGGGTGAATCTTTGGGTAAAAGAAGCAAGTTTTTAGAGGCCTCAGATGAATGGGATCGCCTTAATAAAATTGAAAAATAAAGGAATGTGCAGCAATTCCTTTCTGGGCTCTTATTAGTAACTAGTCACTCCCAACTGCCACTCCCAACTCCAGTAACTCTCCTTGCCACCAATAATGGTTCAAAAGAAAGTTCATTTATTAAGAACAAGTGTATAGTTCCAAAGCATTGTTAAGACTGAGCCCATGCACACCAAAAGTTGCTTTTACCTTCTTTTTGCTGGCATGATGAGATCGAGGGGCAGGCTATAAAATGGGCTTGCTTGGAAAACAAGTCAGTGACAACCCAGATTACTTTCTTTTTGTTGCTTTCGGGCAATTCACCAATAAAATTCATTGCAATTTGCCTCCAAGGTCTGTCTGGGTTTGCCACAGGTTGCAAAAGCAACCTCCCCTCTTTTTTGCCATGGTACAAGTGGGGCAGGTGGCCACATCCTTCCTCATTGTTGGCCACCAAAATTGGCACCACAAGAGGTGCAGGGTTTTTACAAATCCAAAATGGCCAGTTGTTTTGCTATCATGGCCTCGCTGCAAAACCCATTTGCGGGCTTCAGCCGGCACGTACAATTTGTCTTGCCACCACCACGCCCTTTGCTTGTTGACTAAAGAGTATTTGTCCTTTTTGAGCCACTCATCCTCCAAAATCTGGCTGTTCAGTTTTTTCAACAACTCTCCCTCTGGCTCACCTCCAGCCTTCTTGCTCTGTGCTCTGGTGATTGCCATCAACCCTGGCTGGGTGTCCGGGATGATCTGTGCAATCACCTCCTTACGTTGGCTGTTATGTTGGGGCAATCTAGAAAGAGCATCTGCCAGGAAATTCTTTCCCCCAGGTGTGTACTTTAAGGTGAAATTAAATCAGTGGAAGTACTGAGCCCATCTAAGTTGCTTTGGGGACAATTTCCTCGGGGCAGTCAATGCTTCTAAGTTTTTGTGATCGGTCCAAATTTCAAAGGGGTGAGGCGATCCCTCCAGTAGACTATCACCCAATGCACCGTGAAAGCCTTCTTCTCCCAAACTAACCACCGTCTCTCCGTTTCTGAGAACTATATGCACATGTGTATAACTCCCCAGATTCAGATTTTTGCAACAGCACGGCCCCCACCGCAACATCCAAAGCATCTGCCTGAATGACAAATGGCTTGTCCAGGTCGGGATGTTTTAGAATAAGCTCTGCTATGAACAGGCTTTTCAACTTTTCAAACGCTTCCTGGCATTCCTGCAACCATGCTAGTGGAGCCCCAGGCTTTGAGGCTTTCGCTTTATCCTTCCCCTTAGTCTTTAGTAAATCGAGGGGGAGCACCACCTGCGCAAAGTTCAGAATAAACTGGCGGTAAAAGTTAGTGAAGCCCAGGAAACTTTGAAGCTGCCACCGCATTTTGGGAGCCTCCCAGCCAATCACATCCCTCACTTTGCTTGGGTCCATTTCAGTCCCCTTATTTGATATCCGATAACCCAAGTAATCAATTTGTTCCTTATGGAATTCACATTTAGTCAGTTTAGCAAACAGCTGAGCATCCAACAGTTTCCTCAACACTTTCCTCACCAACTTCACATGCTCCTCCATATTTTCAGTATAAATCAGTATGTCATCCAGATACACCAAAACACCCCAGTACAAGTCCTGCAGAACCTCATTTATGAGTTGCATAAACACCCCTGCGGGCCTCTTCAATCCAAACAGCATGACTTTGTATCGGAAACAACTGAGAGGGCAATTAAACGCCGTCTTCCATTCATCCCCCTCTCGTATTTTCACCCGGAAATATGCATCCCATAAGTCCAGGTTAGTGCATTTTTTTCCCTTTGACAAGTGAGCTAACAAGTCTTTCATTAGCAGCAAAGGGTATCTATTATCTTGGCAAATAGCCCTCTATAGTCCGTGCAGAGACTTAGCGAACTGTCTTTCTTTTCCCTGAATAGCACCGGTGCCACTATCTGGGACTAAGTAGGCTCAATAAATCCCCTCTGCAAGTTTTTATCAATAAAATCCCACAGGGCTTCCAGTTCCTTGGGAGTCATGGAATACATCTTTTTTCTCGGGAATTTAGCCCCGGGTTCAATCTCTATGGCACAGTCACTTGGGCGATGGGGTAGTTGGTCCGACTCCTTTTCACTAAACACCGTTTCCAAATCTCGGTACTGCTCCAGAATCAAAGCCAGACCTCCAATTACATCCCAATCCGCTGCCTCCACACTTGCCGCGGCCACCTCTACCCCAATGACTTTTCAGCAATCCCTTTTACCCCTGTACCATTCCCCTTTTGGAATGCTGCCAACTGCCTTTGTCCCAGTCCACCTTGGGATTCCTCCTTTTCAGCCAGTTCATCCCCAAGATTAATGGATGGGTTGCCATGGGAGTCACCAGGAATTTTATAGTCTCTTGGTGAGTTCCCATCCTCAGCTTGAGTTTCTCTGTACAAAACTCCATGTGCCCCCCCCCCCCGGGGACCCATCCAACTGAGAAAAAATTACTGGGGTTTTGAGTCTCTTCACCCTCAGTCCCAACCTGCGAACAATTATGGGATTTATTAAGCAGCGGGAACACCCTGAGTCTATGAGAGCCCTCATGTCTGACCTATGGTTTGTCCTCAACACCCTCAACTTCACCTACACGTTGATGGGACTCACCCCGATTTCTTCACTCTCCGACTCGTCCCCAGATCGATCTTCACACCCTGGGAGGGACGCCTGCTTTCGGGCCTGTATTAAAGCAGGTGATTTTAGTTTCCCACTGGCTGTTCCTCTCCCTCCGATGACTCAAACTCCTGAAGCCCTGCCTCCTCACTGGCGGCCACAGTCTCCTTTTTCCCAGCTTTGGAGGCTTCGCTGGCTTCCGCTCTGTCTTCTTCCCTCTGGTATCCGATCTCCCTTGGGAGCAACTAGCAGCAAAATGGCCTGACTCTCCACACTTGAAACACCCACTTGTTTCCCGTCTTGGACACTCTCCTTGGATTTGGCCCTGGCCTTCTTGACTCCTGGCTCCGCTGTCATCAAATGGATTGTTGCCGCCACTGTCAACCACTGCTCTTCGACCTCCGCTGCCATAGCAATCCACCCATCAATGGTCCCTGGGTAGACCCAATTCATCACATGATGTAATAGATCGGGTTGCAAACCCCACTGGAAGAACTCGATGAGGAGTCCCTCTGGTAGGTCCAGAAGCTTCTGGGCCAGACCCTCGAACTCAAATGCGAACTCGGGCACGGTTCTGGTCCCTTGCCGGAGCCACTCCACAGTCCTTCTCACTTTCAGGGCTACACACAGGTCTTCGAAGTGCTTGCACAGGGCTCCCAGGAAGTTGTCCAACTTCCCCAGCACCGGAGCTTTCGCGCAATGCATCCCAATGACCCACTCCGCTGCCATGCCCTCAAGGTAACTCGACATGTAGGAAACCTTCTCGGCTTCACTGCAGAACAAAGCCCCATAGCCCTCCATGTAGACCCGCACCTGGGTGAGAAAATAGGCCAGTTGTTCGGCATCTCAGGCAAATCTCATGGAGATACCCCATTGCTGCATCAGGTTCTTCTTCAACCATCTGGGTACGTAGTCCTCATCTTCTTCACTGGACGTCTCTCCTTTGGCTGATCCCTCTCCCACCTCTGACAATCTAGGAGTTGCCACCAGCTCCACCTGCTCCCCTGTTGGAGGCATCTGGCCAGCCCCTAGCACCCAGTCCAGCGCAGCTCTCATAGCCTGCACATTGTCTGCTAATGAAGCTATCCGAGTCTCCACTTTTCCCACACATTCTTTCAATGTGGGGCCCCTTTTTTTCACTTCCATCCCTCTCAATGCCAGCCTGGCTGCTATCAAGGACTCCACCAGCACCTCCCACTGGATGTTAATCTTTATTGGGACTCCCGAGTGACTGGGAGCATCTCCTCAATTACATCATCCGCCATCGTGTTGCTCGGTTTCACACCAGTCAACATGATCTTTTGAACTTTCCTCAGGACAATTTCTTCCCTGGCAAAAGTCCTCATGGGAGTCTTAGCAAATTGTAACAATCTGCCACTCCCAGTTCCCAACTTCAGTAACTCTCCTTGCAACCAATAATGGTTCAGAAGAAAGTTCATTTATTGAGAACAAGTGTACAGTTCCAAAGCATTGCTAAGATTGAGCCTGTGCATGCCAAAAGTTGCTTTTACCTTTTTTTCTTCCCCCATGCACCCCTGCTAACCTCCCAGACTTCTCACATTCGCTCATTGGTATGACCTTGAGCATTCCT